TCTCCAGTGCTTCCTGAAGAGCCCCGCTGGCATGACAGTCTAGTCTGGTTGTGAATGTGTGGTGCTCCTCCTTGCCTGCCTCAGAATGCTGGGATTGCAGGTGTGTGCTACCAGATATAGATGATTTATGACTGTCTTCTGTTCTGACAATGAAAGCTTACATAACTGTTTCCATGTTAAGGCATATTATTCAGCCTGGTAGTGGCGGCACATCTCTTTAATCCCAGCAGCCGGGAGGCAGAGGCAGGTGAAATCACTGAGTTCAAGGCCACCCTGGTCCAGGATGGCCAGGGCTACACAGAGAAACCATGTCTCAAAAACAAGCAAGCAAACAAACAACAACAAAAAAACCCAAGTTATTTAGGGCAACCAGATGTGTGTTCCTAGAACAACAAAAACATGCTATTCAGGGCAGCCAGATGTGTGCTCCTAGGTCACAGTCATTCATATTTGGTTCAGAGTAAATGACCTTTACTTCCTTTGACAGCTGTGTTTTGTGTAGGTGACTTTACAAAGAGTATCAATGTGACCAGATGTGGCCTGTTAATCCCAGCATGTGAGAGGCTGAGGCAGGAAAACTGAGAGTTCCAAGCTATTTTGAGTTACACAGCCTTAAGATAAAAAAAAGAAAAAAAATATTAACACAAAATTGTTGTTGATACTTGTACATGGAATTAAAAATATAGGTCGGGCCGTGGTGTGCCCGCTTTTAATCCCAGCACGCGGGAGGCAGAGGCAGGTGGATCTCTGTGAGTCTGAGGCCGGGCTGGACCGACAGCCTGCAAAACAATACAGAGAAACCCTGTCTCATAAAACCAATATATATATATAAATTTGCCCCCACTGCATGGGTAAGTCCTCTCCAGATTTTCTATCTTCTCATACTGTCTCAGCTAGGGTTAATATTGCTGTGATGAAACACCAAGACCAATAGCAACGTGGGGAGAAAAGAGTTTATTTGGTTTTATATATACATGAAATCACAGTCCACTGGGGCCAGCCACGGCAAAAACTCAAACAAGGTGGGAGCCTGGAGGCAGGAATAATGCATAAGCCATGGAAGGGTGCTATTTACTGGCTGTCTTCCCATGACTCGCTCCACCTGCTTTCTTATAGAACCCAGGAGCACGAGCCTAGGGCTGGCCACACCCACAGTGGAAAGGGCCCTACCCCATCAATCACTAATTAAGAAAATGCTCTATAGGCTTGCCTACAGCCTGATTTCATGGAGGCATTTTCTCAATTGAGGTTCCCTCCTCTCAGATGACTCTACCTTGTGTCAAGTTGACATAAAACTAGCCAGAACACACCTTACCTCTTAAGTCCCCAGAAAGTGTCAAGTTGTTGGACATCACTCACACATCTGTACTTGCCTCACTGCGAACCAGCAGTGGCCATCAAGTCCAGAGGATAAATGCTAAGGCATTTCGTAGCCCCATCGTTCACACTGAAGACTTTCTACATCTCCCCCTCTCAGCAGGCCCAGATACCCTTCCTACCTCTCAAAATTTCCTCCATGCTCTCTTCACTCAAGGAACTTTGTAAAAGTACACCTTTCAGATACCTGGATTTTGCCCATGTTCCCCTCGTTCATCTTCTGGAGCCTCTCTGGTCAGAGAAGAGAAACCTTTCCTTGTTCTCATTACTGCAACACTTTGAACACATGTCAACTGCTACATGAATCATGCTCTCCTGTGTCCATGTCCCTCTGCTACCCTTGAGGGTAAGGGACAACCACACACTGACTCCCTCGCAGGTGAGCTTTCCCCCACATGCTAACCACCTGCTAGTCGTGGAGGTTCATCCCCATACTCCCAGCACTGAGGAGCAGAGGCAGGAGGATCTCCAGTTAGAAGCCAGCCAGAGAGCTATACGGCAAGACTTTGCCCTTAAAACATAAGTAAAAATTTGTAAATTGACTGGAAGCCCCATCACTAACATGTCAAAGAATATGAACCATTCCTTCTAGCTTCCAGGGTTTAAACTACTTTAAATCCCTACTTTCACTCAGGTTCCAAGTCCCTTGCCACCCTACCCAACTCCAACTCAACCTTAAAACAGTATTCCTTTCACTACTGGCTCTCTTCTTGCCTTCAAATTACCCATCCAGGCATTTCAGGTAAATTCTTTTCCTGTCAAAACTCTCACTGACTCCCTCCTACATATCCAAGGTCTTGAGTTGAGCAATCATGTTTCCCAGCCGTCATATCTCACAAGGGACCTTGGCATGCTGTCATGACACTCCACCTCATATGGTATTTTCTGGCTTCCACATCTTTGTCAACAATGAAGTGCCTGGTAATCTGCCTGGCTTTTCAAAGTCCACCACAAGTGCCGCCTCCTCCAACACACAAAACTAGGCAGTCAGTTCATGCCTTTCCTGAGCTTTCACAGGCATTATCTTGCTCAAACAGTAGCTCCCTCTTGCCTCCCTCGGATTGCTGTAGACCTAACTAAGTCACAGTCCATTCTCACAGTTGTAACAGAAAATCCAACCTTGAGAGTCAGAGCAGGTGGCCTCCCCAACTCCCATTCTCTTTCTTGGCACTAGGGACTGAAGCTACAAAGTGTTCTACCACTGAGCTGTGCCCCCTGACCCCACAGGAGCTGCTTAAAACTCTTCTTGGGTTGGGGTGTAGCTCAATGGAAGAGTGCTTGTCCAGCTTACCTAGTGTATACAAGGCCCTGGCTCTCATCCTCAGCACAAATAAAAACTTTTGTTTGTGAGACTGGGTTCCTCTGTGCAGCTCAGGCTGATCTCAGACCACCACCCTCACACCTCAGCCTCCAGAGTTCTGGGATTACGGTATGCTTCACCACAGTCACCTGACTAAACTTTTCTTAGCTGTGTTTCCCTCTCAAAGCCATTTCTTCTTATACCAAGTTAACAGCTCCCCCCCCCAAAAAAAGTTACAAAGTAAAACAAGCTGCCCTTGAGTATAGCAGTCAACTCTTACCGCGAACCTCAAGGGAGAGGAAAAAGGATTTCTTGTAAGTGGGAAGGTTACATTGTGAGTAATACATGTTGAAAAGATAACAGGGCGGTGGCATTACCATTACCAAAATACCATATGCCACACCTTTCCCATTGGCTGTGCTAAATTGTGTGGCACTGGCAGACACCCTAGAGACCTGGGGTTGGAAGGGTTGGCAGGATAGGTGAAGTAGAAGGGGAGCACTTCCTGCCTCTGGGGTAGACACACAGCCGACAGACCAGCCCCACACACTAGAAAACAAGATGGCACACAATTAGTAGGTCCCCTGTGGTGGCACATGCCTGTCCTCTCAGAGACTAATTCAAGGCCAGCCAGTCGCCACAGCAACACTGTCTTACAGTATTCTCTAAGAGGGCAGTTCACACTGATAGGAAGCCCTACAGGTTCCAGCACACAAGGACTTTCTGAAGGAGGACGACAGTCTAATAGAAAGTGAACCAGGAGGCAGGGACCAATGCAATAAAAGTAATGAAGCCAGAAGGAACACCACGGGAACAAGAGCCCTAACGGAAGCACAGGCCAGGGTAAGGAGAGGGATGGGTGCATGGTGGAACATTTAGAGCTGACAGGCCTCAGGCATGTTTTTAGCCCTGAGTAGTAAGAGAGTGGGTGCTGAGGAGAAAGGAGGGAAACGGGAAGGGGCTATACCATTTGTTCGAAATCAAAGAACCCACTTAAGGAATTAAGCACAAGAAAACCAACTGGACCCAGCATCAATGATTTCAGCCCACTCTTGGAAGAATCATACAAGTGCCTTATAGACTACTCATATTAAAAACAGGCATCTTTTAAAATTAAATCTAACTACATCAGGAGCTACAGTCACTCAAGGGTAGTGTGAAATTTGTGATGTAGTGTGTAAAAACGGTCTCCCTAGAGCTAAGCAGTTTGACAAGCATCACCCATTCGGGTTCTAGAAACAAACTCCTTACCCATGAATTCTGGTGCCTTACAGATGGGAAAGTTTGGAGAAACGTGGGTACCTGAAGGTGTTCAGGAAGTAAAGTTCAAAATACTAGGCTTCGAGAAGCTGGTGACTTCAAACCGGGAGAAGCAGCGAGGGGCTTTCTCCCAAAGTTCCCAGATCTGACCCTCCAAATACCACAGGAGAGGAAGCACCACCTTATCCCTCAACTTCCTACTCCTCCCCTGGAGCTTACGATGCTACACCACACAGCTTTGGCCATCAGGCCTATCTCCCACGCATGTCTTGTAGGGCTCTCTTGCATAGAAACAACTAAAATGCCCTTTTCCCCAGGCAGCCTGTCGACTCCTTGGCTATTTCACTGGCTCGATGAGATTTTGTAGGCATAGAAGGCTTCACAGTCAAATTTTGCTACTGTTTTCTGACGAGGGGGAGGGGCCTGACGGCGGTGTTGAGTAGGTATGAGGTCTGATATACTGATTAAACACAAGGTGAGTCACCGCTTAGTTTCAGTTTCTCCAGCTGTTCGTTTAATAGAAGGAAAAGAGTCCTATCACAGCGTCCTCGCTGGGTTTTTAAAGGCTGCGTTGCTCCTTTTTATAGTACTCGGCGGCATGTCAGATGTGCTACAAGCATCAAACACTAGTAAGACGTCAACAATACAGGAGTAATGTTATTTTCAAAGCAGCTGCTAAACATCCTTCCCTCTGAAGTGTCTGGCCGTTACTTATCACTATGCTTTCTCTTCCCAACTTCCAAGAGGGCCTAGGATCTCCAAAGCGTTCGGAAACCCTGCCGCGGCGGCCTGGAGGGTGAAAACCAACCGGGAGCGTCGAGCCCTGCGCGCACATCCAGGGGACTGGAGGAGAGGCAGGGCGACCGCGCAGCGCGCGTGCTCCGGGCCCGACCGCTCTGCCTTCCTGCGCACCTCGCCTACTTTCGAGTTCGCCAGGGACCAGTGAGGGAGATGCTTTCGCAGCGCCCTTTGCAAACGGGGGGTGCGAGGGGAGGGCACCGAGGCTCCCGGGATGAAACCGCTAAGCCCCGCGGCCGGGCGAGCCAGGCCGGACCGGACTCACCTTGGCGCTGTGCACCGCCTCCTGCGCGCCGCGGAGCTGCAGCCAGATGCGCGCGGGCAGCGGCTCCTCCGCCCCGAGGACGCCGAGCACCGCCAGGCCCACGCCGAACAGAGCCTCGATGCGGCCGCGGCTCCGCTCCAGCAGCGCCGCCTTCTCGGCGGGCGCCGTGAACTCGTCCAGCACCACCCGGGCCGCCATGGCGGGCGCGGCCTCCCGTGGCGCCGGGGGCCGGCGGCGGCGACGCCCCCTCAGCGTGCCGCCGCCGCTGCACCGAGCCGCTCAGGAGGCGTGGGCCGCCTCGCCCGCCCGCCCGCCCGCAGGCCCCGCTACACCATCACGACACGGCCGCCGCCGCCGCTTAGCAACTGTGGGCAGTGACTCCCGCCGCCCCGCCGCCCCAGCCCCCGCCACGCATGCGCTCAGCCCGCCGCCGTCATTGAAGCTCGCCGCCCCGCCGCGAAGGGTGGGTTGGTGGCTGAGGGCGACGGAAGTCGACGCCACACGCGGCCACCATGTTGGTTAAGGGCAAGCGTTTTCAGGCGAGGCCTGGGTAGCCATATTTGACGAGGGGCTGGTACCTTTGGGCATCTGTTAGTTAGATGGAAGTTTCTGGTTTTACATTGGTAGGCAGATGATTCTTCTTTCCCTCTCTCCTTCTCGTTCTCTTTAATTCCTTCCCCTATTTAACTTCTTTCAGAAGAAAAACAAAAGGATAACAGGAAAAGAACATGGGACTGCGAGCGGAGAATTGAAAGGCTAAACAAATTGCCTACATAGTGTCAATTGTCTGGGATCCCAGGGAGGCTGGGGAATGAAGTAGGCAAATAGTCGTCTGCTGAAGGGAGGCCTGAGATACATAGTTCCAAGTGAAACTTTGTCTCAAAAACCAAGTGGGAGAAGGCTCCGATTAAGAGTGCTTTGGGGGTCCTCATAAGGACTGGGAGTTTGGATAGCAAGCTAGTCGTGGAAACAAACCTATGACCTCAGCCCCGGGGAAGACAGGAGGGCTTGCTGGTTTCCGGTTTAGCTGAGAATTGCGAAGCGGGAGTAGATGGGAAGCGGGAGAGGAGATGACGAGAGGCCCCTTCTGGTTTCTACCTGGAGAGGCATGCTTACCGTTACATACGTGGGCCCATACACTCACACAACAAATGCATGCATAAAATAACTCTAAAGTGAATCCATTCATTAAAAACGGGGCATGGTGTCACAACCCTGCAATCCTGGCAGCACTCAGGAAGTTGAACCTAGAGTGTGAAGACTTCAATGCCAGCTTTGACAAGAGCCAGACCCAGCCTCAGAAATGCCCCGGCCCCCTTGCATTCTCCGCTATGCTCTCCCAGTCCCCCATGTCCCCTAACCCTGGCCATGTCCAATCTGCTTTCTCTCCTCTCTGCTCTGGACTCTTCAGATCTCTCTCTCTCTCTCTCTCTCTCTCTCTCTCTCTCTCTCTCTCTCTCTCTCTCTCTCTCTCTCTCTCTCTCTCCCCCCCAAAAAAAACAACGCACCAACAACAAAAATTTCCCCCTAATGGAGGGGCCAGGAGGACAGTTTCTTCATCTCACTCCCTCAAATACAAGAAAAATGAAAGGCAGTTTCAATAGGATTGTTCGTGTTGTGTGAGAGGCACGAATCTGGATTGGTGGGTTCACTCATGATTATACTGTGGGACTAGGGCAAATAAGCCCAAATCCTCTTCAGGTCTGTCTTTCCATCTGTAAAGTCAAAGGTGTCACTCACTTGACTCCAATGCCTTTTCCCAGACCATAAGTTTTCTTGAATCCTTGAAAACAAACTGTGAAAAATAAAGTGCTGGTTTTCTTCCTGAGCTAAGTACTGTGAACACGGTAAATAGGATTAACGGGACCATTGCTTAGATTCTCTGTATTATAACTCTTCCCTGGTACAATGTAGTAAACAGTAGTCCTATTGTGACAGTATAATACCAACACAAAATGCTCATTAAATACTAGCTAGAGTGTCAGGCTCTCATTCGCTATCAAAATTAGCCAGAAAAGTCACTCTACCAAGAACAGCCGAATACCCCCACCCATGTAAGGGGGGAGGGGTAGTCAATTCTGCCTGAGATTCCCGAACTGCAAGTTGCACCCTGATGCTGCTCCATCAGTTCCCTAAAATTTCATCTTTGCTGGCATACTCCCTGATCCCTTACCCCCAAAGAAATTGCTTTTCTGGAATCTGCTCAGTGCATCATGGGAATCATGTAGTATTGACGGTCAACGTGATTGGACTACAACAGTACTTGATCGCCTTCAGCAGAAACTTCTTTTTTGCTGTTTGTTTATTGGGGGTTTTCAAGGCAGGGTTTCTCCGTGGCTTTGGAAGCTATCCTAGAACTAACTCTTGTAGACCAGGCTGGTCTCAAACTCACAGAGACCGGCCTGCCTCTGCCTCCCGAGTGCTGGGACTAAAGGCGTGCGCCCAACGCCCTGCTACCTGATTGTCGTCAAACCTCAAATTTCCTTTTTTTTTTTTTTTTGAGGCAGGGTCTCTCTCCATACCTCTGGTTGCTCTGGAACTTGCTGTATAGAGCAGGCTGGTGAGCACCGAGATGAAAGGCGAGCATCAGCATACCTAGCTCAGCTGCCCATTCTTGACTAATGAAAACATTCTTGGTGGGGGCAGGAGGGATGCAAACTGCTGAGTTAGGAAACTGTTGTTTGTTTTGTGAAACAGGGTTTCTCTGTAACAGTTCTGACTGTTTAGCAATTAGGAAACTTTTAAAGCCTCAGTTTTCATGGCAACCCTGTGTAGGTTTATTTCAGGCACGTTGAAGTGTGGTCCTGTACTATCCGTGTGCCTCCTCCCCGAAGGAGAAAGGAAAGGATCGAAACATATTTGAGTTACAAATGGCAATGGGGGGTGTTGGTGAGAGGGATTACCCCCGATAAAATCTGTCAGGGGTCCAGGCTGCTGGGGTTTTCCATGCTTCAGAAACTTGGGCAGGTGTTCTCCTGGTGCCTTACCAAAAGATGACTCAGTACAGAGAAGAGAAACACTGGGCTCACAGACCAGCTTCCTCTTCCCTCTGGGCTTTTCCCCTGGTGTCCACACAACCTGCAGTATTGCTCCATCGGATCAATTATCTGGGATTGGCTGCAGCAGACCAGGTGGTAAGTGTGGCCTTGCTGATATATGGTACCCAGAGCCCAGCGTTATCAACACAACTTGTTAATTCCTTGGTTGTACTCAATGGAATCACTATTGTTCATCAGTTGGGCAGGGCTTTCCCCAACACTGTTCCTGTGTGTTTCCAGTAACTTCCCTGCCAGTGGTTCTGTAATTGCTTAGTTGTAAGGGGTGGGGAGAGAGACTGTCTTCAAAAGCACAAAACAGCACACTCCTTTCTGAACTCTAAAACAACAGAAGTAGTGCAGCTAAGCATGATGGTACACACCTGTGATCCCAGTTTCTGTGAGGGTTGATCAAAGTTCAAGGCGAGGTTATGCAATAGTGAACTGTAGTCAGGGTTACCGAGCTGACACATCCTTGGATATATACAACTTTGGGGGTGTTTTTCTCCTAGTTAGACTTCTTTCCGGTTTGTACTTGTGCAGCATTCGCCTTTGAGAACCCCTCTTGCTTTTGAGGGTAAAGAACAAGTGGGGGAGGGAGGAAGACAGAGAGAGAGAGAGAGAGAGAGAGAGAGAGAGAGAGAGAGAGAGAGAGATCACATTAAAGCAACTCCCTTACCTCATTGCTTCATGCAGCCTCTAACCCACAACTTCCTCAGTTGACTGGCCTTGCCTGCCTGACAGGCCTTGCCAGCCCAGGATTGACGGTAGGGATGAGACCTTTCTGTAGTCTGCATTCCACACTCCGCTGTCTTTTTCTCTATGCTCTATAACAACCACGTGTGACAGTACTGAAGAAAAGCAGTTCTCAATCTTCTCTGTAGAGGGCAATTGGTTTCCCTCTGCGCCCTCAGACAGGTAACATTCGGAGGACCTAGCTCTTTCGGTTTCCGCCACTAGCCACTCATCCGTCCTCAGAGCAGGAGGACGATATCTCAGATGATGACTTTCTGGGACGCTCCATGCTCTGTCAGGTATTGTGCCCCTAGGAGAGAGTTCGTACACTGGTAGTAGCTGCCTGTGGTTGCTCGCTGTGCCAGTGACTCTTTAGAGGCTTCCCACTTCAGTCATACCTTGCAGTATCACTTTTATCAATAATAAATATGAAACCTTAAAAAATAAAATAAATAAAACCTGCTTTAGAGGCTGGAGAGCTGGCTCGGAGATTAATAGCATTTGTTCTTGCAAAGGGCCCACTTTGACTCCTAGCATCTACAGGGCAGCTTACATGTATAAATCATGACTCCAGTCCCAGGGGATTGAGCTGATCCCTTCCTTGGGTACTAGGCACATACTAAGTGTGTAGAAATATATTCAGCAAAACATCTATACACATAAAAGTATCTAGATTAAAATTGTGTTTTACTATGTATGTGTTTATGTGTGGTATGTGCACTTGAGTACAGATGCCCTTGGAGGCCAGAGATGGCAGATCCCCTGGAGCTGGAATTACAGGCAGTTAGGAACCTTTGGACATGAATGTTGGGAACCAAACTCACATTGTAACAGTACACACTCCTTACTACTGAGCTGTCTCTCCAGGCCCAAAGATAACATCTTGTAGCCCTGACTGTCCTGGAATTAGTTCTGTAGATCAGGCTGGCCTTGAATTTACAGAGATCCACCTGCCTCTACCTCCTGAGTGCTGGGATTAAAGGCATGTGCCACCACCTCCCGGCTAAAGATAACTTCTTAATCTCTACCAAACTATCTGGTACCACTTCTGGTGGCAGTGCAGTGTGGGTGAGTAAAGCTGGGGACTCAGCCCAAGTTTTCACCCTCACTAGGTAAGTATTTTACCACTGGTTACATCTCTGGCCTCTGCCTCTTGGCTTTTGTTCTTCTTAGCTTCTAACTCAGAAGGGTCAGAATGAATGTTCCCTGACCTCCTGAACTTCCAACAGTGGATATCTTACAGATGAGGATAGAGAGATCTAGAATGTTCTACAGAGTTGGTAAGTATTGTCAGTGGGAATAGACATTGGCATTCAGGTACCCTGGCTCTGCTTATCCTGAATGCTATACCTTAGTGACAAACCTTATGTACAACCATTCCTTCCTTTCCACCCTTGAACTAAAGAGCAAGAAGAGAATGCATTCTGGAGGGATGGCTCAGCAGTAAGTGCAGATTCTGCTCTTCCAAAGTACTTGAGTTCAGTTCCCAGCACCCATGCTATGCTCACT